GGGGGGGGGGGGAGTGGAAAATCTTGGGGACCCCCAAAAACTGGACAGAGGCAAAATTTGGGGAGGCCCTGATCCCCCCCCTCCCGACCCCTCCTGGGGAGCCCCAAAAACCAACCAAGTTTTGGGGACCCCCTGAGCCATCCCAACCTTCTGGGACCTGCCTCGAGCAGGTTAAAAATGGGGAAAAACGTGGGGAAAAAAGGGGATTTGGGGGGTAAAAAATGGGGAAAACTGGGACTTGGGGGGGGGGGGACGGGAACAAAACCCAACCAAATTTTGGGGACCCCCCAAAAACCCACAGAGCCAAATCGTGAGAACACCCCGACTTTCTGGGACCCCCCAAAACCCAACAAGGACAAAACCCCAAAAAACCCAAACGGCGCCACCAGCAAAGGAACCAAAAGCTTTTATTCCACCGAGAGCCCCAAAGCCACCCGGGCTCCCCGCGGGTTTTGGGGTTCCCCGGGTGTTTTTGGGGCTCCCCCCGGGTGTTTTTGGGGGGTTTTTGGGGTTCAGGCGTGCAGGGCTCTCCAGCGATCCAGGGGTCCCCGCGAGGGGACGTACTTGACCCCGCAGCCGTCGGGGATCAGGCGCTTCTGCGCCACCATCTCCTCGAAGGCGTCGGCGTTGAACTTGGTGAAGCCCCACTTCTTGGAGATGTGGATCTGGGGGGACCCCGAAATCTGTCAGGGGGACCCCAAAACTCCCCCACAAAAAAAATTTGGGGGTGTCCAGCTCCCCCCATCCCATTGATTTTAAGGATTTTGGGAACTCCCCTTGACTGAAGTTTGGATTTTTGGGCCCCCCCCCACTGGTGAACCCCCATTTGTTGGAGATGTGGATCTGGGGGGACCCCAAAAAAACATCAAGGGGACCCCCAGACCCATTCTGGCATCCCCCAGACCCATTTTGGGAGCCCCGGTACCTTCTGCCTGCCGGGGAACTTGAACTTGGCCCTGCGCAGCGCCTCCACCACGTGCTCCTTGTTCTGGGCCTTGGTGCGGATGGACATGATCACCTGGCCGATGTGCACGCGCGCCACCGTGCCCTGCGGCT